CCGACCTTAGGTGTCTAATTTTACAGAATTACTTTCATCTATATTCATAAGGTTAAAGGATTGTTGGATTTTTCTAATAGGGCTCAACTAGGTTTGTTTGTTTGTTTTCAGTTTTCCATTTGTTTTCATTAAAACAATCATTCTCAACAAGAAACACATTATTTTGGAGGAAGAAACTATTCCGCTTGGAAATTCTGGAGAAGCATTTTTCTGTTTAAATAATAGGGAAATGGCTGGGCACAGTGGCGCACACTTGTAATCTCAGCACTGGGGAAGCTGAGGCAGGAGGATCACCTCAAGTTGGGGGCCAGCCTGAACTACATACTGAGATTTTTGTCTCAAAAAACCAAAATTAATTAATTGAGAAAATCTCCTAACAGTGTCTTTGCAGAGGTGGGGGCAGCCAGGGGCACCTGACCCACCTGACATGCACAGGTGGGGCACAGGCTCCCTGTGGAGCATGGAAGGAAAATGTCCCTGTACAGCAGGTTGTCCTGAAATACCACTTTCCTGGGACCAGCGATGACTTGTAGAATAACTTGGCAGCATCCTGATCAGGTATGGTGGTCATGCCTGTAATCCCAGCACTTGGGAGGTTGAGGCAGGAGGATCACTACAAGTTCAAGGTCAGCCTGAGCTCCATGGAGAGACCCTGTCTCAAAGGCGGGCAGGGGATTTAGCTCAGTGTCTCCATTCTGCCTTCCAAGTGCAAGGTCCTGAACTCAATCCCCGGTAACCCAAAAAAAAAAACAAAACAGGCAGCTTCCTGGCTGCCGGCCTTGTTACTTGTCCCTTTAGAGCAATGACCCTTGTACTTGAAGGGACGTCATGGAACTGGCTCCCCCTGGACCTGCACTTCTGCCTTGTGCTAAATTTTCCCAGGCTGCTCAGTGGGAAGAAGGGGCTCTTGGGACCACACGACAGTACTCTGGGACTGCAGAGTCTGGTGAACTTGTCCGTGATGTTCCCAGTAAAGCAGACCCTGCTCGACACAGATGAGGAGTGGCCCTTTCCCACGCAGCATTCTTCCCCTCTGCATTTTATACCAGCGCAAAACCACTGGGAAAGATCTTCATCTGCTTTCCAAAGACTTTCAGGAGGTGGCTGCTGCTTGGGTGACAGGGTGGGGGAGGACTGACTCCCAAGGGTCTCCTCTCCCGTCCTGTTTGGGGGGGGCCTTCCTTCCACTGGCGAAGCCCTAGCTGCAGGGAGAGCCAGGCACTTGGCGAAGAGCTCCTGCCCGGCTCCGCGCCCATCTTTCTCCCCGTGGACGCGGGTGGACATGGCTCCTGGGAAGCCGCCTGGCCTCGCAGAAGCCACTCTGGTCTGATGTCGAGTTACAGGGATGCAATGGATGAGCCGGGCTAGCTCTGCTCTCCATTTCTAACTTCAGCTCATAATGCCGATTTGTGGGTCTGACGATTTAAGGTCTCGAGGCGCTGTTCCTGCTGGAGGCCTTTCGGTGCTCAGGGAGCTTCTACTTTACCTGCATTCACCCTCGCCTATCCCTCCAGCTCACCGGTCGTCTGGATGACTGGACTACGGTGGAAGCGCAGAGCTTTGGCTTTGAATACTTCTCAGGCCTCCTTACACGCGGGGAAACGTCTGAATTCACTGCCACGTCACCCTGCAGCCTTTCCGTGCCACTGCCGGAACTCTCCTCTCCTTTACCCCAGGTCCGGCCCCAGCCTGCCTTGCAAGCAGCTTCTCTTGGCTCGTGTAGTCGCCCTCGACGTGGGTGTCTACGTAGCTGTGGGGAAGGAGGACAAAGAAGTCTTTCTCGACCTTCATTGTCTAGATGTTGGCTGGAAGCTTGCGGTTGGTACGAGGGAAGTCATGCCTCTGCCATCTCCTGTCCTTCTCTGCCCACAGCCAAGTGGCACGCAAGGGCGATCCACAGGTCAATCTGATCCCATCTCCTCTCCTCGGAAAACATTAGAGGTTCCTCTCAGGGGCTTGGAGAACACACTTTTAGATTTGAAGACTTCGATGGATCCCCAGACCTGGCAGGGAAGGGCCATCATTCTCCTGTGAAGTTTTAACATGCGCTCCCAACATCTTGTTTGCTAGGACCAAGGAAGCAAACACTCTGGGAGGCCTTCAGGCAGCTGTCCTCCCGGCCAACAGTGCCAAATCTGTCTGTCATTCAGCTGCGGGGGCTTCTCAACCGAGGACAAGGTGACCTTACAGAATACCGAGATCCGTGCAGTGTCAGGGATCTGACCCCTGTAGATTTCCGGTTTCTTGCTCGAATGTGCTTCTGGGACATTTTGAAGTTGTTTCTGATATACCCTCCACGCTGAGACCCGCTCTGTGGCTTTCCAGGTCTGTCTCAGAGTCACGGCCCGGACCACTATCTGCAGCCCTCGCTGGATCACTCTACAGATGTTCTAGAGCTAATCTGGGAGCTATGTCCCTGTCTCTTTTCCCCAGTCCGTCCTCTCCAGGGAGCTGTTCTGAACGCCTCTCATGGCAGCTTCCGGGGTGGCTCAAACTAAAGCTTTTAGATCTGTGCTGCTCTGACCGTTAAAAAGATTTCTCCCTATGGCTGCTCTGGGACCAAGAGGTCTTAAGAACGCGTTTCTGAGGATGTGTGGCTAAGAGACTCAGGGTTCTGCGGGGCAGTGGCACTCTAGTTTCTCCCAAGGCTTGCTGTTGAGGAGGAAATCTCCAGGATGGAGAGATGGGAGCACGGTCCTTGGAGGCATGGCTGACGATGGAAGGTTGCGCATTGGAGGACCGAAGTCTTCCTGGGATCTTTGGATCACAGAGGGTAAAGCCCACACGCTCCCCGGTACTTTCTGAAACACATTATATGCCAGCTGGTGAACTTTAGATGGTGTTAGAGACTGCGTGTCACCCTGGTTCGATGAAAAAACGGTCCACAGATCCCAGTGTGCCACAGAAGGTGGCAGGACTGGGGGTGGGAGCTGAAGCTGGGCCTGAGCCTGCACAGGAGGAAGAAACGGGATTGAGACTGAGGCCGGCCCTTAGGCAAGGCCAGGGCTGGGGATTCACAGCCATGCAGGCGATGGAGGTTGTACCAGAGACAAAGGCCGAGGAGCAGGAAAATATGATTCGGTGACTTGCGAACAGAACAGAGGAGGGCGACACTGCAACAGTCCCCATTTTTGCTCTAATGGCCCTCCAAGGTCTTAGGGCCTGAGGTCTTCCGATGGACATGAAGCACCCCAGCTTGGCATTTGCTGCTCTGAAACCAAACAGAATGGCCCTGTCCAGTCTGCCCAGTGCAGACTGACATTTTCCCTGAAGAATTCGGCTAACAGCCTGTCTCTGTTGTCTTGGAAAACACTGTTCTCTTTTTTTGCACAACAACAAATGATTCTTCTTTTTTATCTTTTTCTCTCTCCAGGAGGGCACGAATGTCAGGGCCGAGAGGCCAGAGGTTTCCAGACTACCTGGTAGGCTGCACTGTCCCCAAAACAAGCTTCAGCCAAGCAGAGGTTTAGTGGACAACTCACCAGGCTGTCAAGAGACAAGTGGCTTCTGCCTGCAAAACAGGTTCCACTTCCTGAGTGTGATGTAAAGGGGAGAGGAGGTAAGTGGTGGCACTGGGAGATGGGCATGGGGAATTTGGAACTGAAAGACAGGCTTAGGCTCTGCTGGCAGGCATGCAGTGGTGAGTGCAGAAACGAGTCTACCTGAGGGAACCTGGCCAGGTGGGACAGCTGAGGTGGAGGTGACAGAAGCTGGAATGGGGTGTCCTGGAGCGACAGCAGAGACAGTGAAAGTCTGAGTGAATGACGATGCTTCACAGCATCTATGGATATTGAGAGTGGATGCCTGAGAGCAGGGTGACCTCACAGAAGGGGCTGGGGACAGCAGCTGTTGGGAATGGACGGTGTCACGATGCTGGCCCAGGGAGCTTTGCAGAGCAGAAAGCAGCTTCCTTTCCTCTTCTTGGCCCTGCCCTGTCACTTTTAGATGTCTGTTTTTCCAGAGTATCAGTAACCAGGCCAGCAGCAAGTAGCACAGGACAAGAGCAAGCCACACTCAGAAATGTGCAGCTGGGGTCTGCATCAAGAATGTTGAGCCACAGCAAGGCATGATGGCACACGCCTGTAATCCCAGCACTCGGGAGGCTGAGGCAGGAGGATCACTGTGAGTTCAAGACCAGCCTGGGCTACATAACGAGTTCCAAGTCAGTCTCAACTACATAGTGACACCTTGTCTCAAAACAATAAACAAACAAACAAAAAAAATGCTGAGCCACAGCTGAGCAAGACCGCCTGGCTGCTCAGAAGAGAGTATTCTCCACTGTCCAAACCACAAGGCTCCCTGAGGCTGAGTTCTGAGGGACTGGAGTTTGGCTATATCTTCACCTGGGGCTCTGACAGTAGGGAGGGGACACCTGAGGACAGCAGGCCTGCTCTGCACCAGCAGAGTCCATGGGGCCTAATGCCTCTTCCACTTCCTTAGCAAAAATAAAAGAATAAAAACCTGGCCAAGGCTGGAGATTTAGCTCAGTGGGGCCACCGCCTGCCTCGCAAGTACAAAGTCCTCAGTTTGACTCCCAGTATAAAAAAAAAAAAAAAAAAAAAAAAAACTGGCCAACTTATGACAAATCACCCAATTTTTCAGTCACAAGAATTACCCAGTAAACATGAACCCAGGGCCTTGGTAGAAGTATATCCATCCTGGTTTTTACATTTCATTTCTTTCTTTCTTTCTTTCTTTCTTTTTTTTTTTTTTTTTTTTTTTTTTTTGGTTTTTTGAGACAGGGTCTCACTATGTAGTTGAAACTGCCCTGGAACTCATTATGTAGCCCAGGCTAGTCTCAAACACACAGCGATCCTCCTGCCTCAGCCTCCTGAGTGCTGGGATTACAGGCATGCACCACCATGCCCGGCTACATTTCATTTCTTGATTAGCCTTATTTCATGAGTAAATTATATCTTTGCAGAAAATGGTTATTATGAGTTTCAAACTGACCAACAGTTTAAAAAAAAAAATCTTTATTTGTCTTTTTTTTTATACCAGGGATCAAACTCAGGACCTTGCACTTGAGGCAGGCGGCAGCACCACTGAGCTAAATCCCCAAGCCCTCATCTGTCTTCTCTTGGGTTTAATGCATTTTTTTTTCTTTTCACTGTATTCAAAAACTCTTGGATTTATAATTTTGATTCAATTTTGCCAATTTCTGCACTCATCTATCATTTCTTTCCATCTTTTCTTAATCATGTATTTTTAACCTTCTTTAGCTGCATCCTAGCACATAATGTGTATCTAAAAAATACAATGAATAAATGAATTCATTTTCCAACACTGAAGTGGCAGAGGAGATGGAAAAGGATCAGCTCCAACACACAAGCAGAACGGTCAGGGTGCCACCCAGACACAGGCGGGACGGAGATATGGGAGAGCCCCGGGCTCTATCTCCTGCGGATGGACCCACGTCCCGAATTCACACGCTGAAAGCCTCACGCACAGTGTGAGTGCATTTACAGACAGGGCCTCTAGAGGCAAAGCTAAATGAGTTGTGCAAGTGGAAGACAGGAAATTGGGTTTCACTCCCTCGCGCGCTCCGTTTCCCCTGTGAGGTGGGGAAGCACAGCCATCCTGTCAGTGAGGGGCGTGGTGGGAGCAGCTGCAGGCCATGACAGCACTCACTGGGGACACGTGGTGGACGGCTCTGCAGCTCTGAGGACTCGGTCACTGGCAGAGAGCCACTCGGCGACTATGCAACTGCTCCAGCAGTCACGCGCAGAGGAAGAAGAAGGGAAGTCGGTGGACGGAGCTGCAGCTGGGGCGGTTTGCTGGCTTGCTGAGGGCAGGCGGGAATGACCCCAGGACGTCAGGCCACCCCACCTTCACTTTGCCACACTTCCTTCCTTGCCAATTTCATCCTTAAGGAAGACTGAGCTCTGACCCAATACCCAATCCTCCTTTCTATACCTTTGTTAGCATCCATCTACTATCACAAGGTCAGGTCACAACCTGCTTGGCGACATTAAGCTGAAAGATCCACTTAGCTCCCTAAGGCTGATAGAAAGGAGATGGGAAAAGCAGCTTATAATTGCATATGTATTTCAGTCCACCACCTCAGACATAACAGCAAGGCTTACTGAGGTAGCTAAGCGCTCCCGGCTGCACAGGGAAGACCCAGGTTCAGCCAGACCACCTATACGTGCACTGGCGCTCACACCACGAGTGTTGCAACAGCTCTTCGGGGCCAGGGAAAATCGACCTCTGCATTAGAAAAAAAAATTGAAGTGTCCAGGCTGTTAGAATAATGATTTTAAGTATAAAAACTGGAATGCTTGGGCCAGGGATTTAGCTCAGTGGCACCGTGCCTGCCTCACAAGCATAAAGTTCTGAATCCCCGTAAGAAAAACAAACAAACTAGAATGCGTAGCTCAGTTTCAGGCAATCCAGCACCTCAGCGACACAGCACCACGTGCAGTCTGCCCTGTGCTTCTCTGGTCCTCTCCCCATTTCCCGTACCTCAAGTCTGGGAGGACAGGAGAACCCTGCCATTAGCGGCGGCCATCTCACACCTGGGGCCGGGGACACGGAACAGCCTGTACCGGCTCTGACCGCTGCCCTCGGCCCCAGAGCAGAAGCAATGGTCAGGGAAACAGCCTGGGGAAATACAAAGTGCCAATCCCGCTGATGAATGCCAACCTCATTGAAAAGGAGTGGATCAGGTGAGCCCACAGGCACCTCCCCACCAGCTCTCTTTACGCCACAGTGGCCCCTGCCCCGTTCCACGCCCAAGACATTTGCTGTTGAGGAGGTCACATGTAAAGTGGCATCATCGGTGGTCGGTGTTGGGTGGGAACCGCAGAGCTGGGGCCAGGGCTCTGCTCCACCAGTCCCACGGGAGCGAAGAGCACTCCACGTGGGCCACTGTCCCCAAACTCCTGAAGCCCCCGCCCCATGCTCTCTGCTTCCTTATCGAGCAGCTCAGTGAGTCTGGGAAGCAGAGACGAAATGGATGTGCACTGGGTGGGGTCACTTGAAAGAAAGAGAAGCACTGGGAGGATAAGCAGAGGGTGAGAAACGAGGGTCTGCCCAAGGAGAGACTCTAACCTAGAGTCCCACCGAGCAGATGGCAAGACGTGCCAGTCAGTGCCAGTCAGGATCCGGGAGGCCTTATCCTGTCACTTGTCATCAGGACCTTCCATCTCTGAGTCTGTTTCCTCCCAGGTAAAGAGGAAGATGGTAACAATACTGACCTTACAGAGCCCTGGGGATGGGGCGAATGACTGCACATGGAGACCTTTTATAAAGAACTTTACCATAGTGCCGCTACTGTCTATTTTCAAAGAAACAGCAGCACTGTGTCTTTTTTTTTTTTCTGGTACTGCAGATCGAACTCAAGACCTTGCTCTTGGGAGGTAGGCATGGTGCCACTGAGCTAAATCCCAGGTCCCGTGCATTGTGGAGAAAATGACCCCACAGCTCATTAGGGCCTTGGGGTGGGCAAACCACAGGTGGCCATGCATGACATACAGGCCTGGCCGTGTTCCTCTTCTACTCACCAGGGATGAGATGAGGACGACAGGAGGCTTGCTGAGAGGGACTGTGCCTGCCTTGGGTCTAGAAAGAACAGTACGAAAAACCCATGAGGCTGGGAGACGTTCAGCCTCTCAGGTTTATGAGAAATACTCATTCCCGGGACTCCCCCAAAACGTGTCTCACAGAGTCTTACAGGAAAGGAGCTGCCGGTGAGATCTGCGTGGGCACAGGCTCCCTCTCCCAGGACTTTCTGGAGATCTTAATAACGAACTTCCAGTGAGGAATGGCTTGCAGGGAGCGCAACATTTATCTAATAACAGGACCCCTTTTCCATAGACTGACAGGAAGATTCATGAAACATATTTTGGGAATTAAACTTAACTCTCCAGGCCATGCTGCTAGAATGGGCACATGAGCCAGTGCGGAAGAGAAACAAGGGCACTGTAAACATCTGATCAGTGCCAGGCAGCTTCTGCACATTTTGGGAAAGGAAAAGCCCATTTTTCAAACGCAGCATGGATAGTGTCACAGTCCCTAAACTGCCTTGCTCCTGTCCACTCCACCAGCTATGCAGCCCACACTCCAGCCACACACATCAAATCCACACTTTTATTTTTTGTTCTAAAATGTGCTTTTTCCTCAATGAACTTTAATGTCAGCTCAGGACCTCCCTTATAAAACAAAACACAACACACACACACACACACACACACACACACACACACGCACACACACGCACACACCACCCTCCAACCAGGTGAAAAATCCCCGGTGATTAGTCCATAACAAATATTGACACAAGGGGGGAAAAAAAGCATGTTGAAATGTATTAGAGTCAACCTGTACAAAAAAAAATTAAAATATAACCTGAAACTGTTCAAGTTCAGAAAGTCTGGTCAAGTCCTTTCTCTGGCCAGGGGTGCGCTGTCATCAGGGCTCTGGGTCACCAGCGAAGGAGGGCAGAGGGAAGAGACAGAAGCAGCGGGTCTTTCACCAGGCAAGCCGCCACCATGCCCGCCAGGGGTGGCCGGAGCATGAAGACCCTGGGAGCGCTGACAGCCAGCCCGAGCAGGGGGGACCCACGACCACGAGGCTGGGCGGGCGGAGGGAGTAGGACGTACGACACCAGAGGACAAGGGGATACACAGCAGCCTCCTTCCGCTCAGACATAGGTTGGCCAAGCCTGCAGCCACCAGCGAGGGATCGAGCTGGGCTCAAGAGGCTGAAAACCCGCAGGTTTAGTAAACAGCCCAGCACCACATCCTTCTGCGGTGGACTGGAGAGAGGGGAGCAGGGCACAGGTACCTGGCCAGAGAGCACCTGCACCACAGTGGGAACTGCACACAGGTGGAGAAGCCCCTCCTCACTCATCCCTGCGGGCTGGTTTAAGCCACTCCAGCTTAGGACCAGCCTGACACAAGGACACGGAACAAAAGGACAGCCAGGAGGGAGACAAGCCCCACACAGAGGAAGGACCTCCTGGAGGAGCCGGCACTGCCCGCACAGTAAGGATGGCATCCGTGCAGCCCCAGAGTCTGAAGGGACTGACTGGGGAACGAGGGCGTGGGGGGCAGCGGTTTTTCGGGAACAGTGCAGATGGGTGGGGACGTGCCAGTGAGGGTGGGCAGGTCTGGAACTCACTGCAGGTAGAGAGGGGAAGAAACAGCCCGCGGCGTCCCCTCCCCACCAGACCCAGGCCTGGTGAGTGCCAGCTGCCCCAGCCGGCCCTAGTGGCGGCTGGAGACCAGACCTTTCACTTTGGACATCTTCTTGGTGGGCTGCCTCTGCTCCACATGCGGCGGGCACTCCCGCTCGGCTAGCTGCTGCTCCATCTCCTGAGCCGAGGAGGACGCGGTAGCCTTCAGTGTCTTCTTGATGTTGGTAACCTGGAGGAAGAAGCACAAGTGGGGCGCTCAGCTGGCGGGCACCTCAAATTCAGGCACACCGACACTTGTCCTCACTGTAAGGAGGGCCTCACAGAGCAGCAGCCAAAATACCCTGAGAAAATCGGAGATGATCTTCAGAAATCTAGCTGAGGAGAAGCAAACAGGAAATGAGTCCAGCAAAAATGCAGAAATGATGCTTTCTTGATTAAAATAAAAGACATGGGCTATCTGGCAAAGAGGCACCACACAGAAGGTGAAAAAAGTATTCAAATGTCCTTAGAAATAGGAAGGGCAACTCAAGCTATTCCTCCACTATACTCCGCCAACTGCTGAGTGTAACACTGCAAACACTTTCCCAAGAACTCGGGAACAGAGCTCCACAAACTCTTCTCGAACAAACTACCAGAGGATGAACTTCCGCCACCTAAGCAACAAAAGAAGGAAATGCAGGAAGAGAACCGCCAGGTGCTTTCCCTTCTCCCCATTTGCTGCTTGTCTTTTTTCAGTTATACACCAAGTAGGGCTCAGAAACACCCAGCCACCGTTTTCCTCTCCCACACGAGTATGCTAGCGCATCGTGAGCGCACCACCACTGCTAAGCAAGCTCCCAGGGGCTTCGCAGGGCTCTCGGGCACACTTTGCAAATGGCCGGGAAGGCCTGGACCTAGAGGGTGCTTGCTGACGTCAAAGGCTGACGTCACCCAGTATCAGTGTGGTGTGCAAGCTGAGAGCCTGGAAGAGAAGTTTGTTGCTGCAGAGTTCTTCAGACTTTGGAGTATTTGCATCAGTTTTACCAATGCTAGAAGTCCTTGAGATGCTGGAGCATCTCTGCTCTTCTGGATGCTCAAGCAGTCCCACCTTCTGACAAGTGACTGTACAGAGCGTCTTCTACGTATTCCAGCGCCCATGCACATCCGATTCCCAAGCCCCCTCTAATGGCTCTGTACACCACTACTCTTCAGCTCGCTGAGAGGAGGAAGTGGAGGAAAAGCAGGCGGAGGAAGAAGGTGGTAGGGAAGAGATGTTCAGTCAAATAAATTTTCGTATTTTTAAAAGAATCATGAGACGGCAGAAAGACCAGAAAAGCCAGCACGGCCCGGAGGTCTGTTGGTGGGAAAGTGAAGGATGCCCCGGCGGACGGTCCACACACAAAACCGGAAGCAGAGGGTCTGGCTCTCTCCAGAGTGAAAGGCAGCTGGAGGAGTCAAACTTAGACATTGTGAATGGTAGGGGCCTGTGACCACGAGAGAGAGAGAGAGAGAGAGAGAGACAAAAGCAAACAAACACCAGACAGTGGCTCTGCTAGTGAGACAAAGCTAGGCTCCAGGACAGAATCAGAGTCAACCCCGTGGGATACAGGGGCAGGCTGGTGTCACTGTCACTCTGAGATGTGGAAAGCATCCTGATCCACGACTGCTGTAACTCACACCCCTGTTAGGGGACCTGGAGGGGCTGTGGGCTGGGACAGGGCGTCCAGAGCACAGTCGGGGTCCCTTCTAGGAAGAGCCAGTGTCCTGCTAGACCACTCAGAAGCCCAGGGAGCCCCTGCCAGAGCACCTCGCTGCTTCAGGGTTTCGGCTGGGCGGCCGGTAAGCAAAGAACGTGGAGCGAGAGGACAGTTCTCCACTCTTGTGAGCGATGCTTGTTACTGCTTGCTTACTTGACTGCAAGGCCTACGCTGATGGAGTTAGAGGAGAGACTAAGGAATGTGATTTCTAAAGGGTGAAGTGGTACACATCTGGAATCTGTGGGAGGCTGACACAGGAGGACTGCAAGTTTGAGCCCAGCCTGGGCAACTTAGCATGACCCTGTGTCAAAATAAATAGGGATGGGATGTAGCTCAGTTCAGAGACCCTGAGTTCAATCCTAGTACTGCCCTAAACAAGTGATTTCCTCAGTGTTACTATTTTCTCCCATCCAAGTACTAACCAGGCCCAACCCTGCTTAGCTTCCGAGATCAGACGAGGTCGGGCGACTTCGGGTGGCATGGTCGCAACAGTATTGCTGTCCTCTACAACACTCCAGGGGTTCACCAAGTAGATATGCTCTCCAGTAGCAGGAAGATTAACTTAAAGCCTTAGTAAGAGGTGCTACATGACTTGAGTCTGTTTCTTTCTGGCATGGCAGTTACCCCTGATTTCCAGTATGAGAGGGATCTGCAACTCAACAGTGCCCTTACACAGGGAGGCCCTGCTTCTGACTCGGCCTCTGCCTGTCTGTGCCATCTATCCCCACTGAGACCACAGCCCCCGCACCCATGGGAAGCCTGATTCAGGGTCCAGCAAAAGGCTTGGAGCAAGGTGGACGGAGCACGGCCACATCCCTCCCTGCCAGGCCCATGTACTGCCACCTCCCTCTGCAGCAACTACCCTCTCAGGAGCCACTATTCCGGGGGCTCAGGGACCCTGGCACGTAAGACGAAGGAGGGACCTGGTTCTTTCTGCAGCTGTAAATAGCACTGAAGAGCCGTTTCTTCCCTGCTCAACACACACTACGCACTGCGGCCACACTTGTCCCTATACCACACACAGAAACAGCCATCTTTTTTTCTTCTTTACCTCGTTTTGATTTTTGTTTTTTGGTTTTTAGTTTTGTTTTGCTTTCTGCAGTGCTGGGGATTGAACCAGGTCCTTGTGCATGCTAGATAAGCATTCTAATTCTGAACTACAGCCCCAGCCCTTTTAATTTTTTTTTTATTTTGAGATGGGGTCTCACTCAGTTGCCCAGGCTGGGCCTTAAACTTGTGACCCTCCTGCCTCAGCCTCCCAAGCAGCTGGGATGACAGGTGAGCACCACAAGGCCACCGAAAGCAGTCAATTCATCTCTGCTTTCCAGCTACTCACGACCCCGATGCCTCTTCATCAGGGTCCCCTGACCACCCGGAGAGGTGAGTACCTCTTTCACACACAGGCTGCCGACCCACGCTCACCCGCACCTCCACCTGCACAGGCCTGGCAGTGCCCTCACTCCACCTGCCCTGCCCGCTGCAATCTCCTCCACAGCCCAGAAGCCTGCATCTCACTCTCCTGTGATTCCACGGACTCATCTGAGGCCTCGGGAGCCAAAGCGCACCTGCAGTGGAAGGGAAGCCTGTGCACAGGCATCTCCTGTGCCAAGGAGGGAGGGTTCCACCTCCACAAAGACCAGGCACTCCCAGGGAACTGCATGGCCATAAAATGGGCTCTGGGACAGACAGGCCTTGCTCAAGACAGCTGTACTGTGGTTGCTTTTAAACACACAGACTCGTAAGGGGTCACCTGGGCCCACCACAGACCATCAGAGGAAGAGAACAGTGAGAGGCTCACCCCTTCTGCAGGAGCTGGGCCACCTCAGCGCAGACAGCTCCTTCTGGGACCTGGGACTGGCTCCCCCGAGTCTGCCAGTCAAGCCTGCCTCGGCCTCACACGATGTCTCACTCCTCCTTAGCTGGCGACAATCGTCCTCACAGACAATCAGACCTAGCCCCTTCTGATGTCCTTCCTTAAGTGCTCAGGTTTGCAGTCTATCCCTGTCCCTCCTGCCCCCAGGGGTTCTAGAGTTTTTCCAGCTCTTCAAAACACAGGTCTCAGGAATTTTTCAGTGTGACTGCACCTACTGGCAAAAATGCAGCCTGGCTTGCTGGGTGCGGTGGTGGCACCCCCTGTCATCCCAGCACTCAGGAGGCTCAGGCAGGAGGACTACCACAAGTTCAAGGCCAGCCTGGACTACATAGTTATACCTGGTCTCAAAAAAGAAAGGGGGATGGGCTGAACAAAAAGAGAGAATAGCGCCGCCTGGGGCAGCTGAGGGGCACAGCAAAGGCAGAGAACACTCTTTCACAGCTGAAAGAGTGATACAAAGAGAGGAACCGGAGGTACTGTGAGAGAGCAGCCAGGAGGTACTGTGACAGCACCATGCCCAGGTTTGTCACTGACTGAACTCCTACAGGACTCTATACAATGGCAAATAGAGCTTCTGTTTGCTTTATTACCCAGGAGAGCAGAACACAGCCTATTTGTAAATGAACAACAACAGCCACATATTAACATTCCACAGAACACCAGGCACAGGCACTTTCAAATACAAAGAAAAATACACTCTGAAATCAAATGTAAGTGAAGAGCTGTGATGCTGCAATGAATCGTTCTTTCCCTCCAGCTGCTGGCTTAGAAATAATGAAACACCTCACACCGTTAGCACAATGTGCTATTCTAGGGAGGATTAAAGGAGAGACAATTCCCACGCAGTCTGTGATAGGTTCTATGTCACATGGAGGGAAGGCTTCGGAAGGTACGACTCACCAGAACAAGTTGTCAAAGATCTGGGAGAAAACTATGCTTTCCCCTGAGTACCGCAATGTAATTTAAAGATAAAGCTAGGGCTGGGATTTAGCTTAGTGGTTCCACCACCTGCCTCCCAAGCGCAAGGTCCCGAGTTCGATCCCTGGTTAAAAAAAAAAACCACAAGGACCTGAGTTCGATCCCTGCTATCAAAAAAATAAATAAATAAGTAAATAAAATAAAGATAAAGCTGCATGTGATAGCATATGCTTGTAAGCCCAACCCTTCTCTGGGAGGCGGAGGCAAGAAGATCACGAGTTTGAGCCACCCTAGGAAACTTAGCAATTTAGTGAAACCCTGCATCAGAAAAAATTTTTTAAGGGAAGGGGATTAAAAAAAAAAAAAAACAAGCTGTAGTATGTACATGTACCCGCTCCCCAAGATTACTGTAAACACTGCAAAAATGTACTGATTAAAAAAAAAAAGGGCTGGGGAATAGCTCAGTCTAAAGCCCCAGGTACAATCCGAGTACCACAAGAGACACAGAGGGAGGGAGGGAAGGAGAGGGAAAGAAACACCAGCTCGGATGACGAAATGACTACACGAGTTAGGCCAGGGCTAAGAGAAGCAGAAACACAAGTAAGACTCACAGGCTGACCTTGCTCTTTGCAGGTCTGTTTGCCTTCTCAAGCATTTGGTGAGCCCCTGCCGTGTGCCTCACGCTGGGGCAGTCAGCCCTACGCCCAGTACCAGCTCAGGGGCACTGACTGACTGGAAGCAACATGGCTCTCACTCCACTCTCTCTCCCGCTGTATGGGTCTGTGCCAGGGCTTCCAGAAGACTGCCAAGTCTAGAGCTGATCCTAATGGTGGGAAGGCAGCCTTGACCTTTTCCTCCAAATTTTCTCTCAACTCTGGTGTGAAAAACTATAATAGTACATAAGATCCTAATGAGATAACTGACCGTGCGAAATAGGAAGAAAAGGGCTAAAGGTGTAGGGAAAGTGGGAAGGGTAGGGGAAAGGGAATAAGGGAAAAGAAAAAAATAGGAGAAAATGGAAATAAAGTGTTTGTAAACGGGGAGGGGAGGAGGGGGTGAAGGGAGGGCAGGGACAAGGGGAAAAAATGAGAACCAAGACCTGTCATGTAAAGGTACAAGATCCCAATAATGAATGTAACTGTACTGTATACCTAGAATGTACCAATAAACTCAATTTTAAATATATATATAAATAAATAAATAAAATTTTCTCTCAAATGTTAAGTCCTTAGTGCCACCTGGTGGCACCATCAGGCTCTGCCGGCAGGGGAAGTTGCGTTTTCCACAGGGATCCATAACAGACAGGCACGTGCCAGCTCTGCCTTAAAAGCGAGGATTTAGCCAGAGATTTAGCTCAGTGGTTCTGCCGCCTGCCTTGCAAGCACAAGGACCTGAGTTCGATCCCCATTACCAAAAAAGAAAAAAGCCAGGATTTAGAGTCCACACTGTGGGATTAGCAGCAGCCGAGTGCCAACAGTAACTCCAGGCACATCTGCCTTTCTTTTGTCAGATGCCATCTGTCACCCAAAGCAATGTGAACAGTTCAAATTTTTCAAACTAGTACTGTTCGTCTTTGTTCATGACCCAGGTGGCGCCGACAGCCCCTCTCTCACCACCTGGCACACAGGCAGCAGCAGTCCAGCGTGACAGCACTTCGGCAGTGACCAGGCCGCTCTGCGCCCCCAGCTAGGCAGGGAAGGAGGCTTTACACAGGCTTCCCCTGACCAGCCAGTTTCCCTGGTTTGTTTCCCAGGGAATAAACAGAAGGGAGAACGGGCAGCCCTCCAGCCTGAGCTGGAGGCTACCAGGAAGGGCCACACGGCTCACTGAGGAGCAGCAGGCTCCCTTTCCCAGCTGTCTCTGCTTTTGCTCATGCTGCAAGCAGTCCCTCCTCCCTGGCCAGGAGCAGGAGTGAAAATGGACCCCAAATGCTGCGCAGCCATGCAGCATTTGTACATGCAGGGGGGTCCAGCGACATCCACAGAAGTGCAAATCTGAGCACCTCCCACAGGGCAAGCCTGGGGCCTGCAGCCGGCTTACACAGAAAAATAAGACATGGGTTTCACTTATTTCAAGGAATACAGTAACTCTCACAACTCTGGGCCTCTGCCACCCTCTGGGTCACCTGCTTCTTAAACTCATTGACACCCACAACCGCTCAAGCCCAGGCACACCAGAAGAGGACTTCTGACAGTGAGAACCACAGAGGGCCATGAAAACCACTCACATCTCTTATCTTCACTTTACCCACTGACCTTTTCTCTTTTTCTTAGTATGAAACATCATGCGTTTACAAAGGTTATAACACAGATACACACAATCTGGAGAAGAACAAAAGCAGCACTAAACACCTACCATACCACGAAAGCAGTACAGCTTTACCAGGGCCTTGAAGTCCGTGCACGATGCCACATGCACCTCCTTCCACTCAGCTGTGTGTGTGTGCACATGTGTGTGCACGCGCAGTGCTGGGTGGGAAAGCAGGGCCTCCTGCATGTAAACAAGCACTGTACCACTGAGCTACACCGTCAGGCCTACGTCTGTTTGAAGCCCCATCTCCATACTCACCCTCTGTCTCCCCTCAGGGGCAGAGTGCGTGGGAACTGAGGAATTACAAGCTGCTCTACAACCCATGCCTGCTTGCCTTCTGCTGAGCAGGAATCCGAAGGGAGACAGAGAGGACCAAAGGCAGAAGCTGCGGCCCGAAGACCCCTCCACCTACAAACCTGATGCCTGTTTGTGTCTGCGTGGCTCAGCCACACCAAGACTCACGTGACAAAAACAAAAGACGCTGCAAAGGTGCAGCCAGGAGTGCTTCCTCCTCACCTCCACCTCCACCTGCTGCTGCGTGCGGTGGTGGCTCTCTTTGTACTGGTTGGCTCTCAGAACCTGCTGCTCGATGCCTAGTAGGACCGCTTCACAGCCATCGCACCTGCAACACAGAAAACCAGCCTGAGCTGCGGAGGAACTCAGAGCTCTGCTCCAGGGCAAGCGCCACCTTCCCCACGGCCCTCCAGCACCTTATGGGCCATCCCTTAACCCCTTCTGCCCTCACTCCTGCCCTCCTACCAGATGACAAGCTTGTCCAGACACAGCACCGGACCTGTGGGGACAAATATGGTGCTTGGTGGGCAGCTTCTTGGAGTATGGCTCTAATTTCCAACCTCTGCAGCCCAGGGACAATGGTTTTACAGAAGAGAATGTAGGATGGAAGGAAGTGGCATTCATAATTGTTTTCCTCACTAGAAAAACACAATTCCAAAAAAGAAAGAAAGCAAGCACACTATTTTAGAGATCGCCTATTTTCTCAGAGGTTGAAGTTCCATCCTAACTGCCATACTCCTCATTTTTATTTTAAAAATTAAAAATAAAATAATGAAGCTGGGAGCAGCAGTGCATGCCTGTAATCCCAACACTGAGGGTGGCTGAGGCAGGAGGATCCCAGGTTTGAGCCTGTGCCCAGACAATTCAGCAAGATCTTGTCTTTTTTTTTTTTTTT